TGAAGCTAATGGGTTAGGGAAAAGAAAGGTAACTTACGGAATTGGATTCTCTATGAGGCAAATCCTCGGGATCTTTTTAATTTATTAACATAAATTGTTGAATTTTAATTCAATGGTTACAAATAAAAAATCTTTTAAAATTATAATAATTGTAGCAGTTGAATTAAAATCTAACGATTTATATTAATGGATCAAGAGGATCCCAAAGATTTGCATCGGAAAGAATCCAATTCCACTAACGACTATTCACATAAACCTAATTCTGAATTATATGAAACGTGTCATGCTCTCACGCATTAATATATAACTAACGATATTATATTGGCAGTGACGTGAGTTGTTATCATGCACCGACCATTGCAAGATGGACCCACTCGATCCTTCTGTTCTTTTATATCAATTGTTATAGCTTTTTCATTTTAGTTTTCAAATAAAAAATTGGCATAACTGGTACATAAATTTGTTAATTATTAATTATTTTGATTGTTCGATAAAAAATTTGTCAATATTTTCTTTTATGGGGAGGCGTTGGTTTAACAATAATTTTCTTAAAAGATGATCAACAGTTATTCAGATGACAATTTAATAGGCATATTAACAAAAATTTTACTAAATGATCAAAACATAATTTACAATGAATAAACTCAGAGGCCAACGTAAAAATCATCTCATTCTTATAGACCAGATTTTTATATATATCTAAGTTTAGGCGGATTTTTATATATATGCCTAAGTTTGGCGGCCTAAGATTATTAGTTTCAACAATGTCATCCGGTATGATTGAAGATAACAAAGTTCACATGCTCTTTCTTTTTTTGGGGGTAAGGCTCACATGCTCTTTGGCCTGGATAGTATCAAATTAATGTAAACAAAAGTGGGGGCAAATAAAAAGTAAAATATGTGTTGCTGACTCATGACATAAAGGATCATCATCATCATCAACTACAATACCACGAACAAATCAAAAGGTCGGTGCCCTAAAAGAATGGTCAACTCCAAACTTCTCACTTAAAAATAAATAATAATATGTTTTTAACCCCATTCAAAAATTGGATCCAGATTGTAATGACAGTATTTCGTTTTAGATACTATGCACAATTAACATAACACGAGCGTATGAGATATGAGCATATAAACATACGGAGACTCTGTGTTCACGATTTTTGGTATTTTAAAGACTTAATAACTCCATAAAATTTGGCTTCAACTCGTTTTTTTTTTGTTCCCAACTCTAATTATGTTTATTTACAAAAGTTGAGTTTTCGGATATATTATTGTTGTTTAGAGCTTTACTAAAGGCTTTAAGTTCCATCTAGAATTTGATACTTAAACATTAAAATCTATGAGATTAATCAATTCAAGGCTAAAACTTTGAAGTCTAAGAGTCGATGATTTCACAATACAATTGAGCCCACTTTTTATTTTTCAATGGAGTAAATTTCCATGCTCTGACCCAGAATTTTAAGGCCCACCAAAACCCAACCATTCTCAACTCTTATCATTGCACAACTTGTCATTAGGTTCCAAATGTGCGACTGTTTCCCACTACGGAGATGGCCTCTTTTGTTCCTCAAAGTTGTCACATCCTTCCACATATGAAATTTGATGTTTCAATTGGTTTTTTATTTGGAAGTGTTATTGGCACTCCAAAAATCTTATTCTACACTCTTCACAAGTGTATTTTTCTTTCCAAATATAGAAAGTTTGGAGTGTAGAATGAGATTTTTTGAGTGCCAATAACAATTCTCTTTTATTTTTTATTTTTATTTTTTTCAGACATAGGCGATAGATATGTTGATGAGAGGAAAAAAGATTACAACAAAAGGAGCAGTCAGAGCTCAAACAAACAGTCTTCGAATAAAACATTTAAAATAAAATCCAATGGTTCTTCAAACCAAAGATCAGAGCTATTGGACGAGATACTGTAGCAGGCTAGTCGGTGAGCAACTTCGTTTGCTTGGCACCTGATATGGGTAAAACAAACTCCAATGACCCCTGAAGAAATCTCTCTCGAATCCTTGACAATAAGACCACTAAGGGAGAGGTCCAGCAAGGAAGCGTAAAGAGCTTGGGTGATCTGGAACTTAAGTTCCATCTAGAATTTGATACTTAAACATTAAAATCTATGCGATTAATCAATTCAAGGCTAAAACTTTAAAGTCTAAGAGTCGTTGATTTCACAATACAAACGAGGAAAAATGAGATTTTTTTCAATGCATCATGTTAACGTCGTGCACATATTAAGACTGTGAGAATGCCTTTTACAAAAAAATTTGTTGGGCTATAATTTCTATAGGGTTAGGCTTATGGGTAAGGTAATATATTATGAGCCCAGTCCAATCATTGAGCCCACTTTTTATTTTTCAATTGAGTAAATTTCCATGCTCTAACCCAGAATTTGAAGGCCCACCAAAACCCAACCATTCTCAACTCTTATCATTGCACAACTTGTCATTGGGGTCCAAATGTGCGACTGTTTCCCACTATGGAGATGGCCTCTTTTGTTCCTCGAAGTTGTGACATCCTTCCAAATATGCAATTTGATGTTTCAATTGGTTTTTTATTTTTTTTTCAGACACAGGTGATAGATATGTTGATGAGAGGAAAGAGGATTACAACAAAAGGAGCAGTCAGAGCTCAGACAAACAGTTTGAAATATGCAATTTGATGTTTCAATTGGTTTTTTCTTTTTTTCTTTTTTTTTTCCAAACATTGGCAATAGATATGTTGATGAGAGGAAAGAGGATTACAACAAAAGGAGCAGTCAGAGCTCAGACAAACAGTTTGAAATATGCAATTTGATGTTTCAATTGGTTTTTTTTTTTTTTTCTTTTCAGACATTGGCGATAGATATGTTGATGAGAGGAAAGAGGATTACAACAAAAGGAGCAGTCAGAGCTCAGACAAACAATTTGAATAAAACATTTAAAATAAAGTCTGGTAGTTCTTCAAACCAAAGACCAGAGCTGTTGGATGAGAGACTATAGCAAGCAAGTCAGTGAGCAACTTCGTTTGCTTGCCGCCTAATATGGGTAAAACAAACTCCAATGATTCCTGAAGAATTCTCTCTGGAATCCTCGACAATAAGACCAATAAGGGAAAGGTCCAGCGAGGAAGCGTACATAGCTTGGGTGATCTGGAATGAATCACTCTCAAGAACAATATTATGAAAATCCTTGGAAGACACCAAATCAAGGCGCTCCCTAACATCTAAAGCTTCAACACAAAAGGGGGAAGGGACATGTGGAAAAAACTTGGATAAACCTACCATAAAATTCCTGTCAAGTCACATAGTACCACCCCCACTTTCAATTGGTCTTGAGCGTTATCTAAGTCATGCTTGACTAAAAGAGGTTTTATGCTCGACTTGTACAAATATATGAATAATTAATTGTACTGAGTTTGATAGCATTTGGGACAAATTAATAGTGACCTTAAATATCTAAATATCCAAACAGATTAAGGAGAAAGACTTTTTAACATTTCGTTTTTATTTATATGTCGGTTATATAAAAGGGACAACAAGAAAATCTGTCTTTCACGTTTGGAACTTTATTTCAACTTTTGTTGTTTATTTTATTTTTTTTTATGAAAACTTTTAATTATGATTTAAATTGAAACGATTGTAGTCGGCCGACAAGTCGTTTTCCATGGGGTTATTGGAAACCACAATAATTGTGACCACAAATCGGAAGTTTGTTTTTGACATCAAAATATCAAGAGACACATGTCGGAAGTACAAGTTTTGACATTTCAACCATAATCTTCAAGGGAGAGCATGAAGATAAAACAAAATGTAATAGGAATATAAAATGTTAACGTGGTTTAATCGTGATCACACAAACAGAAGGAGATGGAGAAAGTATGAAAATGAAAAGGCAGACAATTCACCTCTATCTTCAAGCGCTACCACAGAAAGATAGCTACAACATAAATTTAGGAAAGATGTTGGAAACCATTTCTTTCACCCTGTAAGTTTACTAATCCATCTCAACAAGATATTACGAGAGAAATTTCGACTCTTACATAAGTAATATTATTCTGGACTATGATGTAATTAACTAAGATAGAAAGTAATTATGCCCGTCTAAGATGTATCACACAACTAAAGTAAATTTGACGGCCCAACACACTAGTTTTTTGTGAGCCTACCTAACACTCTTTAAAGTGAATCATGTTTTGATTATTTCATCAAAATAATATTGGAAATACAACCAATAATAATTCATAAAAGTGGATAATCGCGGAAACCACTATGCTTGATCCATACCTACTTTTCTTTTTGTTATTTATTCTTATATTTTGGGATGTTAATATTTTTTTTATTACAAGCAATATATTACTAATCTAAGCCAAATCAACTGGTTTTAAATTTTGTCAAAGCAGTTAAATTGTGTGGTAAATGAAAAAAAAAGTGTTTTTACTCAAAATCATAGATAAACGACTATAAAAAGTAGAAGCAGTTTTATCTATACTTTGCAAAAATGGTATTTTTTATAAGAGGTTGGTGAACAATACCAACCAATACACTTTTTATATTAACAATCTTAACCTCGTCTCTTTTATTGCTAAAAACACTTTTAAGATTATAGTTTATCAAATGCTTTCGTATTAAATCTAAAGCATCGCCGATTGAAAAAATGTCATTTTTTCACAGATATTTGATGCTCACGATGAGCAGTATGCTTGATCCTCAAACATGAAGCCATTTTAAAATTCCTGAGCACAAAATATCTCGAAATATAATAAAAGAAAAGCAAGTATCATGACCGTAACAGTAATATTAAAAGAAGAAATATAAAAAAAAGTCAAAAAATAATAATGAGGGAGAAAGACAAAAGCCCAAAATAGAAACCAATCATTATCTCCGTTTTAATTCCGCAAATTTATGATTTTTTTTTTCCCTACAATCCCGTAACGCTGTAAAAATCTGGACAGATGAGAGACAGAGAGAGATCCAATAAACCGCTTAGCCGTTACCGACACTCGAAAGAAATGAGAAACCCCACCAGCCGTTTCATTTAATGCTCCCTTCTCCTTCTTTCAGATAAGCATTGTCGTCGTCCCGACTTCTACTCCAATTTTTACAGTTTTTTTTTTAATTTTTTTGCTGGGTTTGTGTTGTAGTAGTATTGGTGTGTAGGAAAAGGAAGGAGTGAAATTCGAGAGGTGTTTTTGGATCGTACTCGGTTTTGATTGTGTTGTTCTTGTGTAATAGTGTGGCATTTTGGGGCGGTCTGAGATTCCAGGGCGGATTTGAGATGGGTATTCTGAGTGCGATTTTGGGTTTTGTGGGTTTTGGAGTTGGAACTTCAATTGGGCTTGTGATCGGGTATTACCTCTTCATCTACTTCCAGCCAACTGATGTCAAGGTTCCTTTTGTGTTCTTCCTTTTTCATTGCTAATTTTGCTTTTAATTTGGTTGAATTATAATTTTTGTTGATTTGTAATGAACCCAGGATCCTGCAATTCGTCCATTGGTGGAGCAAGATTCGAAAACTCTGCAGAGGCTGCTTCCGGAGATACCCATGTGGGTGAAAAATCCAGACTATGATCGTGTATGTTCAATTTTCCAAATCTTAGTTTTCGCAAATTGTTTATGTTGTTTTGGTGTTATAACCTAATGGCGCAAGAGAAGCTTATCATAATTTTTGTTTATGTGAAGGTTGACTGGCTTAACAAATTTATCGAGCTCATGTGGCCTTACCTCGACAAGGTAATGCATACCTATTATAACAGTACTCGGATATATTTTCCGGGGGTGTTTTGCTTGGTTGACTCTCTCTTACTCGTTTTTGTACTGAGTCTTGATGGTGAATTTGTTTTTAGGCAATTTGCAAAACTGCGAGGACCATAGCAAAACCCATTATTGCTGAGCAAATTCCGAAATACAAAATTGACTCCGTCGAGTTTGAAGCTCTTTCCTTGGGCACCCTACCGCCAACTTTTCAAGGTTGAATTGATCCTCTTACTTTCCCTCTCTTACACGCACACAATTTTGCAGCTGCATTCTGTTTTCATGATCCCACCCATCGGTTATATGCTACTTATCACTTTTTATTTTTTCTTGTTTTTGTTAATTTCTTGACATAGTATACTGCAAACAAGATGATATCCGCCTTAAAATTTCCGTCTTATCTTATTTTAAACCTTTGTTCTGCTTTCCCCTGCTATGCAATACTTGTGCGGAGTCCTCATTTCTTGTTTTTCTGTATATGGCAGGAATTAAAGTGTATGTTACCGGTGAGAAGGAATTGATAATGGAGCTACAACTGAAGTGGGCAGGCAATCCTAACATCCTTGTTGCGGCTAAAGCATTTGGTTTGAAAGCCACGGTTCAGGTATGTTTCATGAAGGAACTAGTATTTTTTAAAGTTGGGTACGTATGCACACACTCTCCCCCACGTGGTCGTCTGCTATCCCATGCACAGACACACACATGAATCAATACTTGGAATAAAAATTACGACAAGAGACTTATTACTGGATTTGAATGGTGCATTGATTCTTTGGATTGTTTCAGGTGGTTGATTTGCAGGTGTTTGCTTGTCCACGTATCACCCTGAAGCCTTTGGTTTCAGCCTTTCCTTGTTTTTCAAAAATCTTTGTCTCTCTTATGGAGAAGGTATGGTACTGATTCCATTTTCTTATTGCTTACATGCTTGATCATTGTCTTACAGCAGAAAACTAGTTGGTAGTCAGGGACATGATATGTTTATTTAACTACTTTGTTTTGGTATTCTGGTACCTGACAATCCAGAGTCGGAAATGTGTTATATTTATGTCATTTTCAGATGTTGATCCTAGATGACCTCAATTTAATTGAATAAGGCTCAATTTTTGTAATTATGACTATTTGAGATGTATACTGGGATTAGATGATGTCCATGATCGTCCCCCCCAATAGACAACCTCCAGAATTATGATTCTGTTGTAGTGTCTATAATGTGCCACATCTCCTTGTCTCCTTACTTTCATTTCGATTTCCTTTCTATTTTCCCTTCTCAGCTATCTTATTACTTATTTGCAGCCACATGTTGACTTTGGATTAAAACTGCTTGGAGCAGATGCTATGGCTATTCCTGGCCTGTATAGGTTTGTCCAGGTAGTATCTCTTACCTTTTGCATAGGTTAAAGAGTGATTTGATTGGTGTTTACATCATATATGTGTATAAGGACGATTATCATATATGTTATAACAAGATTCATTGATTGCTTATTTATGGAATATCCTACTTGAAACTTGAATTTCTCAATGCCATCTTGCTTACTTTTGTTATTCTGTTTTGATTCATCAGGAGCTTATCAAAGAACAAGTGGCAAACATGTACCTATGGCCCAAAGCCCTAGAAGTACAAATCATGGATCCCACAATGTATGTGTCATGGTGTTTGGTTTCGAGTAATTGTGTAAGTTGGTTGTTGTGACCTAATAATTTTGTTTAATTCTGTCAGGGCCATGAGGAAGCCTGTTGGGATTTTGCATATAAAAGTTATTAAAGCAATGAAGCTTAAAAAGAAAGATTTACTAGGAGGAGCAGATCCATATGTGAAGATCAAGCTCACTGAGGACAAGCTTCCTTCAAAGAAAACAACTGTGAAACATGGCACTTTGAACCCTGAATGGAATGAAGAGTTTAATTTTGTTATCAGAGACCTGGAGACTCAAGCATTAGAACTTATGGTTTATGATTGGGAAAAGGTATGATTCTTTGTTTGGACTTGTGAGAGAAAGTAGATAGGCTTTTTTTTTTTTTTTTGGCGTGATTTTGTTTCTTTATGTGTATAATAATGTGGGTTTAATTTTTCTTAGATTGGCAAACATGACAAGATGGGTATAAATGTCATTCCACTGAAAGAACTTACGCCTGAAGAGCCTAAAGTTATGACTCTTGACGTGCTGAAGAACATGGACCTGAATGATACTCAAAATGAGAAATCACGTGGGCAGCTTGTTGTGGAATTGATCTATAAACCCTTTACGCAGGATGAGATGCCTAAAGATGATGAAGATCCAAATGCTATAGAGAAGGCTCCTGAAGGAACACCTGCAACTGGTGGTGTGCTTGTAATTACCGTCCACGAAGCTGAAGATGTGGAAGGAAAGCACCACACTAACCCACAAGTGCGCATACTTTTCAGAGGGGAAGAGAAAAGAACCAAGGTACATAAGTCCCTTGTTGTTGTCCCTGTCCTTTTGCTGTCTTTCCACTTATTGTTTATAAATCATAGTTACTCCATGTTATGACTCATAGCAAGGAAAGGAGGCATTATGTCGCATTCGTATGTGAAAATTTGATTTGTAGGGTTACCCACTTCTAACAGGTTGACTCTTGCATTCTTTTTTCTTTTTTAGTCGAAGACTCTTGCAGTCTAAGTTAGTTGAAAATGAGAAGAAATGGTAATATCCTGTTACCTGTATTTATAAAAGAAATCACTTTATTGGTGTTGATGCATGTGTTGGATACAATGAACTTGTGATGAATAGACGAAGTTGTTCCCGGACTGTTATACAAGTGTCATGGGTTTCCCTCCATGATGCTGATACAATAAGAAACAATTGAATGCCGATCATTTCGTTTGATTTTGGAATTTCAAAGTTCTACTTTGCTATAAATGTTTTGTATGTTTACTTACAATCTCATTGGGAACTGACACAGCTTGTCAAGAAAAATCGGGATCCAAGATGGGATGAGGAGTTTCAGTTTATTTTAGAAGAGCCACCGAAAAATGATAGGCTTCATGTTGAAGTGGTCAGCCACTCCACAAGGATGGGGCTGTTGCATCCCAAGGTAACACAACTGAAACACGTTCAACTTATTTAGATTTGTGTTTTTGAAATAACCCTGTGGCGTTTTTCCTTCCAATCAGGAAACTCTTGGATACGTGGATATAAACTTGGCGGATGTTGTTAGCAACAGAAGAATCAATGAAAAATACCATTTGATAGACTCGAAGAATGGACGCCTTCAACTCGAGCTGCAATGGAGAACATCTTCTTGAGGTTATTGCAGTAAAAGACTCTAGAAATGGGGAATAACTGTCCAAGCTTTTCTAGGTTTCATTGTACAATTGGTATACGTTTGCTAGAGTCGACAGTTTGTCTTTTGAAGTTTAAGATTTTTTTTTGTAAACTCCGATTCGTTTCGGATCACGCGTCGTGTTATTTGCTCCTTTTGATTTCACCCTCTTGTTTTTGCTATTGATTTTACCGTACCAAGACAATTCAGGTGATGCCCTTGAACTCGAAATCCAGAATTTGCTATCGACTAATATGTTTCTTGCTTGAGATCAATCCTCCTCTCCAACTTTCATGCTTTCTTAGTGAGGACCTGCCTACCATCGATATGCAACTCTCGCGATATTCCTAATTAACAACGCTCTTATGGATAACTTTCATGTATCCTTAGGTATACTTTTAACTTTCATGCATTGTTGGGAATACTTTTCTAGACTCAAGATATATGCCATCGTAACGATATTCCAAAACGAGCTAACCAACAACGCATTGCTAGAATTGGGGACGAAATTGTCACAAGTTAATATTATTTTATTAGTGGAACAGGCACATTTGAATCTGTTTAATACGGCCCGATTCCTATGGGTTGAACGGATTCATTTTTAATCATGTCGTAAAACAAAACAACAATATAAAACAATTTCTATGTGTTTCTGTTATAAAAGAATTACGTCTAATAAAGTCAATACCAACAAATGTTCTAAAGGAAATAGTAGGATTGTTGTTTTACTTCTTGGTGTCAGATAGATATGGAATTATGGGCTTCATTGTCGACTAATAATAAAATAACAGGTGTTGCGACAACCCTTATACGGTCTGGGTTGGGTTACCTACACATTAAAAATATATACTCGGTTTTACACGAGTCGGATCCAACTCGGATTGTTTTGAGAATTGAAGGTAAGAGTGAAATGGTTTTGCATCAAGCCGGGTAATACGGTATTAACCCACGAGTTCAAACACCTGTATATCCACCCATACATAGGCACATCTCCAGTGAGCTCCCTAAATGAGTTCCTAGCCAAAAAAATAGGGAGAAGTTAAAAATTTTCATCTCCAATCACTCATGTCATGTTCCTAAGATAGCGAATCTCTAGAAGCTCCTAAATCTAGAGAATATGAAAGGAGCTCATAACATTAATTATTAATATTTGAATCATATTTTAAAGACTCCGTGGAAATCTTATAGGGAGTTGTTAAAATAATATTAGCATATGAGCACACACAAAGTGTGTGAGAAAAATTTTTATTTTTGTTTTTGAAATAGAAGTAGAGAGGAAGAGAGTGATAGAAAATGTGGGAGTGAGAAATTTTTATTTTTTATTTTTAATTAGATATATGTTAGGATTACTTGTATGTGAGGTTTTGAAAAGAAAAAAAAATTGGTTGTATGAAATTACATTTCTGCCCCATATTTCTTATCCATGTTATGTTTTAATTAGAATGTTAAATTGGTAATTTCATAAAATTTTGATTGACAATGAGTGTTTTATTAATTAGTAGAGATTATAGACCTTTTTAGTTAAATTTTGACTTTAAAATAAAGAGCACGATTAGAAATCCTCTTACATGAAACATTTAGCATTAGGCAGATTCGGGTTGACGGACCCAAGCTGCACCCGTAGCGGGTGTAAACCTGTTGGGTTGGGCAATAGAAATAGTTGGGCTTGTCTTCCTTTGCCTTGCTCGGGCCCTTATGGTTAGGATTCAGGGTCGAAAAAGACCCCATTTCAGACCCATATTCTCGATCCGTGTTTATCTGATGTGACCATTTGCGGAGTTTACACTCTATTAGATTGAACGCCGAACACGCTGAAAGATACTGGTTACAATAAGTCATCATCTTCATCATTTGCTGTCTTGAACGTTGAAAAGTTTGTTCCCTTTCAAGTTTTGATCTTTCACGCCAAATCAACCATTCCATCCATCCGTCCCTCCATCCATCCATCTATCTATTTGATTCAGCAGGCAAGAATAGGCATAGGCATATGCTTTCTCCGGGGAAAAAGGATTATCGCTGGATACTTACCTGGGATTCTAGAAATTTTGTGATTATGATATTTATCGTATATCGTATGATTAGAAATTATTTTAAAATTAAATATAAATAGTACTTAACGAAAAATGACCGCACAATATACGATGAACGGTCACGATCACGAGATTCCTAGAATTTCCAGAAAAAAAGATCCGGCGTGGATCCTTTTTCACCGGTTCTATCTATTCATTTATTTTTTTACTTTCCATATAATTTTTCAAATTTTGACCATGGTAACTAATAAATTAAAGAAAATTAGTAGATAAAAATTAACATGTGTAATAAGTAAAAATGAGCGTATGAATAGCGCTAGCCTTACCAAAATACAAACACTTTCTTCTCAGTAATATTTATCTAAAACTTATATGAAGCGTGTTTGCTCTTATTATAATGTTTTCGGTTTCTAGTATAAAATTGTGTATGCTCTCTTCACATTTACTTATATTTGCAGCCTGAACGTCAAAATAACTGTGAACTTGTTCATGTGGTGTTTTTAAATTAATGAAACAAAAAATAATTAAGAATAAACAAATGTGTGCATAAATGGAGATTTACTTTTAACTCTCAATGATTTGAATGGGAAAAGCCCAAAAAAAAAAAAACAAAAAAAACAAAAAGAGAGAGAGAGAGAGAGAGAAATATGAAGGTTCTTTGGAGTTTGGACCCAACTCCTAAAGCCAAAAGCATGTGCGTGTGTTTTTGTTTGCACTAAAAGAAAACAAAAGTCTGAAATGTGGTTCAAAAACCGGTCACCCTATAGGACTTTTTTATGAGACAAATAATATATATATATATATATATATATTATGAGACAATTGCAATACTCAAAAGTCTGAAATGTGGTTCAAAAACCGGTCTTTTCACCCTATATGACATTTTTATGAGACAAATAATATATATATATATATATATATATTATTTTAGCTAGCATCACTTCCAATAATATTGAATATTTGATGCTTACTATTATAGTCTAATAATATTTTTGTTTGCTTATAAATAAGAGGTTTTAGTTCAATTATCGTCAAATACGAATTTAATCATATTATCGCAAACTTATCATGAGACTTAGTCAACTCCTTTATTTTTTAATAAAAATTTAACTTTTACTCTTCTCCTAACTAAATTTTAGATCAATACTGTTCAACAAGTTAATATAGCTAGTCATTACATGACATTAGGAGATAAAGAGAAAATCTACCGTGTCATAGGGTATATTTCATTATGTTACGTGAAGAAGTGAGAAAATTTATTGTGTATAAGCTATATCTTTTTATGTCACGTGATAAAAATTGTAAAAATAATTTTGGAATACAAACGAAAATTTATCACCGTATTAGTATTCCTCACATTGCATGTTATAATCCCCCATATTCCAAGTGCATAAGGAGTTTGAGAGAATATTTGCCATGTTATTAGCTGTATCATTTTAGGTCATGTAACCCAAAGTCCAGATAGGTCATTCTTTAGTACAACAAAAGTTGATCACCGTATTAGTGGTACTCTCGTATATTACACTTTTATGTTAGAATCTCTCGTTATGACCACAAACATAAACACACACGCACACACGCGCGTGCACACACACACACATATATATATGTCATTTGTTAAACACGAATTCTCTCGATAAGATAGACACCTATAACTTAAAACGGCAAATCATGCCACTTAATATTACGATCTAGTAGTATTTATCTTCACTTGTAAATAAGAGGTTTTAGGCTCGATTCTCGCCAAAGGTGAATTTGAACAACATTATTATGGCTGACCTATAGTGAGACTTGACCCCTACTCCCTTAGTGTCGATGATATCGTTTGTTAAAAAAAATATATATATATGGCAAACTGACCACTATTTCTTGGTCCAAAAATAAGCATGATTTTTTATGCTACAAAACTACAAGTCAAATGGATAGAGTCCCTTGGTTGAGGCTGAGAAAGAATATAACCATTGTACTTTAGTAGTAAAGGAAAACGAATATTAACCTATAAATTGGTCCCTACCATTCAAAACTATGTAACGTCCTCCAATCAAGAACAAAATTCCCTTACTTTTTTAAACCATCCTAAAAAGTTTTCATTATTCTAAAGACAGTAATAACCATAATATTAATATAATTGACATTATTGATACTAAAATAACCATTTTTATTCTCCAACACAGAACTTAGAATCTTGCAATTGAGAATTCAGCCACTAACATGAACGTGTTACCAAAATCCTAGTGGAAGAACAATGAGCGTGGATAAAATAACAAAGAATCAATGCTGCCGTCCTTCTTGTGACAATTTGTGAGGCTATCAAAACATCCCCACTCAAAATTTCAGAGGAACATCACTTTCGTGTTTGGCATCCGTATCAACCAAAAGAGGTCCATATCCCTAAAAGCCTACTTTCTTAAAAAGTCCACAACCAAAGTATTTTTGCGAAAAAAGTCTACGAGGGGACTCGTTTTGTTCCTCACTCGCTCATTTGATGGTTTGGAATCAAAGCGAGAGCTTGTGGGTAAAATTTGTGCAAATGGATTAGATTGACTCTCTTGTGTTTTGCTTTCATACAATTTCATGCTGGTTCCGTTATATATGAGAATTTACCTAAAAACGTAGCTCTGTTGAAGGGGAATGAATGATTGAGGTAGGCACACAATAGGCCAAACACTTGTTAGGGTAGGATAGTGATATTCACACACTTATTTTTTTACCTCTCACTCCACTCTCGATTTTGATCGTGATATCGAATGAATTGAAATAGATTAATAGATAAAACTAACAAGGATGTGTGAATAGTAAAAATAGGTATGCAGGTAATAAAAATAAATGTGTGAATATTAGTATTCATAGAGTAACTCAATACAGATATAATAATACATCATTAATATTTACGCAAAACAAACTTGAGACATCTTAATTACAAATGAAAATAAATAACTAACATATTTGGTAATAATTTAATAATATACTAGCCTCTCTGCACGCGCTCATGCGCATGCGAGAGGCATTTTTGTATCATAGGCGCTACGCGCCCCAAAAATGTGTTACTTCTTATATATCCTAAGAACTGAAAATAAATAAGATCTCATTGCTAATGATGTCTGAAGTTAGTTGTTTTTCATTGTAATTGTCAAGATATATGTTTAATGTATTGCGCATGCGAGATATATATATATTTTTTTATCACGGACATTACGTGTGCCCCTGAAAATGTGTTGCTTAATTTGTTTCCTCATTTCGTAAGTGCTTATTTATATTTTAATGTGAGGGCCATTTCGAAGTTTTTGATTATGAATTTGTGAGAGGCCAACACCCATCTTTCCTCCTTTTTGTTTAATATATAACTTCAATATGCGTTTTTTCCCTTCTTTTGAGAAGTAGTAAGCACAACCATGTAATCAAGAAATATGTCAGTAATTCAATATAAAAGAACCAAAGGGGAGAGAATTGCACATAATTTTTTTTTTTTTGTGACAAATACACACCAAATCATTTAGTCTTTTTACACATGCTCTTGCAAAATTTTTTTTTGGTTTACCTTAGGATTAGACTTAGAAATACAATATTAAGAGACAATTTATTTTGCTATTATGTTGAACAACGTTGAATAGAAGTTACTTTGCAATATTTTGTACTCTTCTGCAATAATAAATCGGTAAATAGGGATGCAATAGTAGTATATTTCCAAATAAAATAAAAATCATGGTGCATATATACACACATTTAACACGGACAAAGAAAAGAAAATTTCTCTTTGCTTTGATAGCTTATAGAAGCATACATCTATAAGCATATTGTTGTATGACACTATAAAATAATAGGTACGGCAACAACATTATCTTTGTGGAATCAAATCTTATCAATAGACACTTCGAATAAATAGTCTGATTTCCACCAGCTAGGAACACCCAAAAAAAGAAGCAACTTCTCCTACATCAGCATAATATACATAATCGAAATTTTGTCCGTAAGAAAAAAGAAACTTCATACTACTTATTCTCTTTTCTTATTTTGATGGATAAAATGCACTGAAACCAAACTGCATATGGGCATACTTCGTTTTAGTTCCGTTCTTCTTTCCATCCGCTCCTTGCAATAGATTTCCTATACCTGAAATTAAAACGCAAGACAAAGGAGGGGGGGGGGGGGAGAAGAAATCAAATACTAAGACCCAAAAATAGATTTTTCGATTTTTTCGGATTTTGATTGTGAAGGAAATAAAGGGTTATTCTTGGCATTTTAGAATGCTTCACCAAACTGAGGCTCTCTTTATATATATAGATAAAAGAAGACAAAAGAGAAGGAAAATTACTGCTTGAAATTGAACTTCTGTTAAATACTTTGCCTAAAGTTATTAGCAACTGAAAGGAAAAAAGCACTTGTAACTGAAAGATTATAATCATGCTACCAACATTTGACCCAAAATTGAAAGGAAAAAAGATGAAATTCTATGCATATAGTAGATAATTGATAAATCAAACTTTGCAACTGAAAGATTGACAATGGCTTCAAAATTAAATGAATATCTAAAACAACTTGTAAACCTAATTATATGGAAGAGGTAGAGAAAAGCAATGTGCTGCAGACAGCTTACGACTCAATATTCAGGTATAGGCTTTGGTTCAACTATGGAGATTCCTTCTCCGATTCCATTGAATTGCTAGATAGCTTTAGCTCGCTCTCAAAGCCCACACTTTGCCCACACAAAACTAAATTCTAAGAATTCCTTTTCCCTGCATTCACAAACACACCGTCAGTTAATTTTAGATTTTAGAGAAAGAGCGAGAGAGCGAGAGAGAGGGTGTGCATATGGTGTTGGGAGTGAAGGGGGAAGGATGCGAAAGAATAGAAGTTGAAAGCAAGGTACCGGCTTTGATTTGGTTGTTAGTTTGCAGAACATGGAGGGTTTGTTTGAATCCCACGTTTGCAGTTCTCATTCCTCATCCAGCAAAACTCATCCGTTTTAGTGCTTTCTCTCTCTTTCAGTTATCGTTTTTTTACCCCTTTGTTCTTTTTTTTTTTTTTTTGAATTTTAGAGTTTATTCATCTCTAAATATTAGTGGAGCGTAGGTAGTTATTGTGGAATGTCCCACTAAACTCAATCCAGATTGTGAGAATCATACAGAATAAACTATTATCTTGTTGGCGCTTATTATTTTTCAACACGGATTTACTTTTTATTTATTTTGTTTTTCAATACAGTTTTTTGTTGAGATATGATTTTTTACCTATTTGTCCTTGTTTATTTTGAATTTTTTGGATTTTGATTGTGAAGGAAACAAATAAGTATTTTTAGCATTTTAAAAAGCTTCACCAAACTGAAGCTCTTCCTGTGTATATATATATATATATATATATATAGATGAGCAAAAACCTATAAGATTGTATACATAAAGTTACCAAGGTGGATCGGTGGGGCCCCTGGCAGAAGTATCCGTCCATGCTGGTGAAATAAACGAAAGGAGGAGAGAAGGAGGAAGAGTGGACTTTTAGCTCACAGACAAATGGAGTCAGAGGGAAATTTGACCGTCTAGGAAAAGACATAGACAGTCTTTAATCTGGGCCCAGCATTGCCCCAAGCCCATTCGGATCCTCAGTTCTCAGAAAGGTATCATCCACATCGACCTTCGGTTCTGATCAGTGGCCCATAACCAAAACACGTTTATAACGCTAAATTCCAAACAAATTAAAAGACCGCAGAGACGTGTCACCTTTTGCCTCGGACGACAGTATTCATAAAACAACTTTCATAACAAAAGTAATAATTTTTGTATTTTTGGTCCTATCTTACTCTATGTTCGTCTCATTTGATGTAAAAATTTGTCCGAGAATAATATCTGTCTACTTTTTTATACAATTTTAAAGAGAAACAAACGGGACGAAGATAAAGGATAAGAGAGGGCAATGTATGGTCGGACCTCCGACGAGCTGGCCTCTTGAATTTGGCCAATCCAGTTAATCATACCGAAGTTTTCCTAGATTCAACATAACAATGAAAAGAAAAATATATTTAAATTAGGATAATGGCGGGATTAAGGAGATTAAGGACGTCAAAGTAAGAAGCGAGGCAACTGACACTAGAGAGCAGAGATTAGACAGCTCTGCGACAGCCAGTAACATTATCAAGTATTTTCTGGCACTGAGCGAGACCTCCATATCAGGCCGTCAAAACACACCTATCCTATTGAGAATCGCAGAGGGTACCAACCCCCTTAACACCGTCAATCTCCCCGTCCTCTGCGGTCCAACCTGTAGCGGTACGAATATGGAAATTACACTCCACATGCAGAGACTTAACCACCGGTTTAACCGCACCGTGAACTGATAAGTGTACGGCGGGGCCCGCCACCCAAACTGCCCTGCGAGTCTTACCAGATAGGGGCCTAGCTACAAGCGTAGCTTATTAGCTATTTGAAGAAATGGAGCCAGCCTCTCTGTCTCATCCAAAGTTTTCCCATTTTTTTAATTTCCCGTTATTCTTCTTCTTCTTTGATTCTGTCCTCCACATTGCGCATTTACATATATACCAGTAAACGCTATCTCTAAAACAAAGAACTGAAAAAACGACAATTACTAAAGTAATTATGGTCACCTCCAGTCTCCGCCGGATTCTCCCTCTCTGTTTCGTCGTTTTACTGCTTCGCTCCGCCCCCTGCCACGGACACCGCGACCTCGATGCGCTGTTGAAGCTCAAGGCCGCAATGGTCGGCCCCAAAGGTTCCGGGCTCGAGGACTGGAACTCTTCGTCCTCGCACTGCTTCTTTTCTGGTGTTTTATGCGACCGCGACTCCAGAGTCGTTTCTCTCAATGTCTCGAATATTCCCCTGTTCGGCACGATTCCGGCGGCGATTGGGCTGCTGGACAAGCTCGTCAACCTCAAAATTACCGACGACAACTTGACCGGGAGGCTTCCGGCCGAGATGGCCAACCTCACCGCTCTCAAGCATCTGAACATCTCCAACAACGCGTTCAGCGGCAGCTTCCCCGGCGAAATCATGCTGGGGATGACGGACCTTGAAGTCCTCGATGCCTACAACAACAACTTCAATGGGACACTTCCCGTTGAGCTCGCCAGTCTCAAAAACATCAAGCACCTCCATCTTGGCGGCAACTACATCACCGGCGAAATTCCCGAGGATTACTCGGAGATACAGAGCTTGGAGTATTTGGGACTGAACGGTAATTTGCTCACCGGAAAGTTACCGGCGAGCTTGAGTAGGTTGAAGAATCTCAGGGAAATGTACGTAGGGTACTATAACAGTTACGATGGCGGAATTCCGCCGGAGCTGGGGTCGCTGAGCTCGCTGCAAGTCCTCGACATGAGCAGCTGCAACCTCGTGGGCCCCATCCCCACCACTCTCAGCCTTTTGAAACACTTGTACTCTCTTTTTTTGCAGGTGAACCGCCTCAGCGGCAGCATTCCGCCGCAGCTCTCGGCGTTGAACAGGCTCATGTCTCTGGATCTCTCCATCAACGAACTCACCGGAGAGATACCTGAGAGCTTCTCGGAGCTCAAGAACCTAACGCTGGTCAATCTGTACAAGAACAATCTCTACGGTCAGATTCCAAAGTTCGTCGGCGATTTACCTTATCTCGAGGTGCTTCAAATTTGGGAGAACAACTTCACATTCGAGCTGCCGGAGAATCTCGGCCGGAATGGCAGGCTGAAGGACCTCGACGTCACTGGAAACCACCTCACCGGGCTGATTCCGCGGGATTTGTGCAAAGGAGGTCATTTGAAAACGGCAATTCTGATGGACAATCACTTTTTTGGGCCGATTCCCGAGGAACTCGGGCTGTGCAATTCGCTGGTGAAAATCCGAATGATGAAGAACACACTCACCGGGACGATTCCAGCTGGGATTTTCAGTTTGCCCAATTTGATCATGATCGAGCTAAACGACAATTTCTTGTCTGGCGAATTACCAGAGCAAATTTCTGGGGGCAATATTGGAATCCTCACACTTTCCGGAAATCACATTTCCGGGAAAATTCCACCGGCGATTGGTAATCTCAAGAGTCTGCAAACTCTTTCCCTGGAGATGAACAGATTTTCCGGCGAAATTCCGACGGAAATTTTTTATTTAAAGTTGCTATCAAAGATCAACATCAGCGCCAACAACCTTAGCAGCGACATTTCAGATTCCATTTCCCGCTGCTCCTCCCTGACGTCCGTTGATCTCAGTCGAAACAATTTGGTAGGCGAAATCCCGAGAGGAATTGCGAAGCTGAAAGTCCTGAGCATTCTCAATTTCTCCAGAAACCAACTCACCGGAGAAATTCCCGCCGAAATCAGATACATGACGAGCCTCACGACTCTCGACCTCTCCAACAACAATTTCGTCGGCAGGCTCCCATCCGGCGGTCAGTTTCTGGTCTTCAACGACACGTCGTTTGCGGGTAACCCCCATCTTTGCTCCCCGCGCCGCGTCCAGTGCCTGTCGTCCCATGGCCGCAAACCGTTCGCTACCTACAAGATGGCTTTTATCGTCATCGGACTCTGTACGATTCTGTTATTCTTGTTCATAACGGCTTACCGGATGAGCAAGAGTAAAATCCAGAAATCTTTGGTGTGGCGTCTCACCGCCTTCCAGCGCCTCGATTTCAGAGCAGAGGACGTCCTCGAGTGCGTAAAAGAAGAGAACATCATAGGCAAAGGCGGCGCCGGGATCGTCTACCGCGGGTCAATGCCGGACGGCGTTGACGTGGCGATCAAACGGTTGGTCGGGCGAGGAACCGGGCGAAACGACCACGGTTTCTCGGCCGAGATAAAGACTCTGGGAAGAATCCGGCACCGGAATATCGTGAGGCTGTTGGGGTACGTGTCGAACAAGGACACGAATCTACTGCTGTACGAGTACATGCCAAATGGGAGCTTGGGGGAGCTGCTGCATGGGCCGAAAGGGGGGCATTTGCAGTGGGAGAGGAGGTACAGGATCGCCGTCGAGGCCGCCAAGGGGCTGTGTTATCTCCACCACGACTGTTCGCCGCTGATTATACACAGGGACGTAAAGTCCAATAATATTTTGCTGGACTCGGATTTGGAGGCCCACGTTGCGGATTTTGGGCTCGCTAAGTTTTTGCAGGATGCTGGGGCGTCCGAGTGCATGTCTTCCGTTGCTGGGTCCTATGGTTACATTGCTCCAGGTGTGTTAATTGGCAAATGTTTTTTTTGGTTTTTTCAGGAGCAATGAAATTAAACGAATTACGTGATGTCCTGCGTTTTAAACTTCGGTGGTATCATTTATCTATCCCAATTTATTGAAGTATTTATTGCCAATTTTTCTTTGAAGGTTACCAAAGTTTTAATAAAAAAAAAACAACATACTAAGAATTCAGTCCAACTCAATTTCAATGTGTTTGCATGTGATCTGACCTTTGTGCATGTGTTGGTACGAACAGAGTACGCCTACACATTGAAAGTGGACGAGAAAAGTGATGTGTACAGCTTCGGCGTGGTGCTGCTGGAGTTAATAGCAGGGAGGAAGCCGGTGGGAGAATTTGGAGACGGGGTGGACATAGTAAGATGGGTGAGGAAGACAACATCGGAGCTGTCTCAGCCGTCTGATGCAGCGTCGGTGCTGGCGGTGGTGGACTACAGGCTCTCCGGGTACCCACTGGCAGGCGTGGTACACCTGTTCAAGATTGCCATTATGTGCGTAGAGGATGAGAGCTCCGCCAGGCCAACGATGAGGGAAGTGGTGCACATGCTCACCAATCCTCCACCCGCGCCTCCAACTCCGAGCCTGCTCAACCTTTGATTGGATAATCTTCTGGATCAATGTTTTTGAGTAAATAAAAGCGCAGCACCAGAGAGTGAAATAATTATGTGCAAAAGATTAACAAGTAGTCGATTTTTGCTTCATCGTTGTAAATGTCTCGTTTTACGTTTTGTTGTAATGTAATGTGATTTTGGTTATTTGTTCTTTGGGTTTTAAGTTGTGCGTTGTTATGTAGTTACGTTAAGAACCAACAAATTAGCATTTTTTCGGCTCTTATGTTCTTCTAATACAATGATATATCGTTTTAAAGTTTGGTTATTGCCTGCTTGATTTCCTCAAGAGGATTTTGTATTAAGCTTCTATTTTCCCTGAATTGTTGTCTGTATTTATTGTTGTAATCAGGAGAGCTACGCCTGCTTCATCTCCATCACCAAAGGATTTCAGTGCTGTGGCTGTTGAGGATGAGATTCAGAACCCTCGACTTGTCAGCCAGCAAGTAAACAACCTTAACCCTCCGTAAGGAGTTGGCAGCGCTTCGAGCTAGGAGTTGAACCAAGGCCGCTATTATGGACTTAGAGATAGTAGTTCCTATGTATGATATGAAATAGGAAGGAATAGAGTAAAGGCCTTGTCCTCCTCTAATACAAGTAAGTAGGTAACGCGACTTTAATCCCCCTAAGTAAGGATTTGGAAGCTCAAGAGCAAGAGTAATTGTAGTTGTGGGCCGTCTCATTACGGGTGGAAACACACCTGCTGTTTA